CTGTTATTGTATGGAAGAGTGTGGTCTCTGAAGAGCTGCCCACAGCAGACCTCGGATAAGAAATAAAAGAAATTCTTTATAATACAAAGCCCTAGATTTGGGTGATGTTATTACAACACAATCAAACTTGTTTTTGTTATTCTTAATGGATGCCATCAAGTCAGCTCCAACTCCTGTTGGCCTTACGTACAACAGAATGAAACGCTGCTTGGTCTCGCACCATCCTCACAACTGTTGCTACGGTTGAGCCCACTGTTGTAATCCCTTTCATTGAGGGTCTCCTTCTTTTTCACTGCCCCTCTACTTACCAAGCATGATGTCTTTCTCCAGGGATTGGTCCTTCCTGATGATATATCCAAAGTAAGTGAGATGAAGTCTCAGCATCCTCCCTTCTAAGGAGCGTTCTGGCTATACTTCCTCCACCCCAAGTTTATTCCTTCTCCTGACAGTCTGTGGTATAACCTAATTTATCCTGACTAATACTCAGCCCTCTCATTCAAGGAATCTCATCAACTCTTCACCATGCTCCTCCCATGGGACCTTTCCTGCTATTACTGCAATTGCCACTCTGGACCAGTGCCCCATGATCATGCCTGGATACAACAACGATCTCTTAACAAACTGCTCAACCTCCACTTTCTAACTCCTTCCAAATTATCCTAAAACTCCCAACCAGGCTTTTCTTCCTATGCATTGCTTTTCTTCACAGTTTGTTATTATTTTATTAAATATAGTGTGCATTAGCATTTGTGCTTCACTAGTTTAATCAAGTGTTCAAGATTTGGTTTAATAAAAGAATAACTCATCATTAATAAATATTTAAAAGATGCTCAACCCAGCAATAATCAGGGAAATCCAAGTTAAAGAAAACAATAAGATACCCAACCTGTGAAGTCTGACAACATCACACATCACTGAGAAAGCAGAGAATGGCTCTTATATCTCCTTGCCAATATTAGCGTGAAAAACAATATAGCACCCAGGAAGTAGTGGCCAGACGCCAGAGAGGCTCTTTCTCATACCCCCTCTCTCAGTCCCAGAAAAACAGCTCCTCTTCTCCTTCATCCTGCCCTGATGTGTCTCATCGAAAAATCTGTTCACTGAGAGCGAATTCGGGTGCCCATGTGCCCCCTTACCCTCACCACAGGAAGGAACAAGCGACGTGGTGGCTGCTGGGGAATCCCAGGAAGAGAGCGCTGAGTGCTGGGGGCTTGGGCTTCAGGCTGCCAAGGAGAACTCCAGCTACACCTGTCCCCCACAGCACCTCACCACATCCCCTCGACCAGCCTATGATGGCAGCTCACTGCTTGACAACTGGGTCAACTGAGGTTCAGCAACATGAAGTAACTTGTCACGGGGCACAGAGAGGGTGGGATTTGAACCCTCATTTGTCTGGACCCAGAGGCTTTGCTCCCCTAGGCCAGCTCCACTCTGGGCCCCAAGGACAGCATGAGGACTCCCACACATTTAGGAGCATCTGAAGGGTGGAAGATGGGTTTTGAGGCTATTGTCCTCATCCTTGAGCACCCTATCATTCTTCACCGGCTCACATCAGCCCCATCTGGGCAACACCTGTGATCTGCCTTCACAGTGAGGACCATGCATGGGCCAAGTGGCACAGGGGCCCAGGCACAAGTAAGCCTGGGGGTGGCATTTCAGTACCAGCTGGGCTGGGAAATTGGGGGAGGCCAGGCCACCGGGAGAAGACATTCCAAAAAGCTGACTATCAGGATTGGCCCCCACCTTCCACAGTAGACACAGGGCAATTCCCCCAAACTTCCAAGTCCAAGTCCCAAGAGCAGCTGAGCCTGGGGAGTGCTGGTTAACAGAACATCCTGTATCTGGTCCTCAGCGGGTCTGATTATAATAGCATGTGTTTAGCGCATCAATGACACGGAACTGTCATGTCCTTTCTCTACAGCCCCAGCCACCTGCCCGGTCACCCTGGCCTCCTCATCACTGCCACGTGTCCTGGGTAGGGCTGGGGACAGAGCCACCTAGGTGTTGGGCTGTGCTGTTTCCCTCAAGAGCCAAGCCCGCTCCGTGTTGGAAGTGGTTGGCTGTGTGAGTGCCGGACACAGAGGACTTGGCTGTGCCCCTGAGACTGGTGGCCCCTCGGTGACTGCCCACATCCCCAGCGAGAGGACCCACTGAACGTTCAGCCCCTTGCTCAGCTCCCAGAGCCTGAGGCTGCTTCCCAGGGAAGGATTCAGGCTCCAAGACTGAAACGTGGAAAAAGCTGTAAGACTGCAGACAAGTCACAGAACCTCTCTGTACCTCAGTTTTCCCATTTGAAAACCAATAACCCAAAGCCACTGTCAATGAGTTGATTCTGACTCATAGTGACCCTACAGGACAGCGCAGAAGTGCCCCGCAGGCTTTCCAAGGCTGTCAATCTTACAGAAGCAGACTGCTCCATCTTTCTCCCATGGAGTGGTCTGGTAGATTCAAACTGCCGACCAATCAGTTAGCAGTCAAACGCTTTAACCGCTGTGCTACCACAGTTCCTTCCCCATTTGGAAAGTGAAGTTAATAACAGCACCTGCCTCAAAGGGTTACCAGGAAGAAAGTTCTGCCTGGTGCACATCAAACAAAATGAATGCCGACTTTTTGTGTGTCTGGAGCTCCTCCTGGAATCTCTCTGCTGTGTTGATTGCATTCTTGCAGCGGGCTGGGCTGGTGCCTTGCGCCCCTCACAGCCCCTCCCCACCACCTCTGGGGCAGAGGACTTACCGATGGTCCTTCGGAGGTCTTCACACTGGCTGATGTGAGGGAACTTCAGGATCTCCTTCCACTTCCTGCTCTTCCCCTTCCGCTTTCCTCCGCCCCCTGCAGAGACGGGGGAAATGTTGGTGCTGTTCAAAGCTCAGAAGCTGCATCTTGTCCCAGCAAGCCTGTCCACCAGCTAGATGGCCAGGCAGTGTCAGGTTACCCAGTAAAGTACATATGGGCTTACTGGTGCTTACCTACTAATCTGTAGTAAACAAATTCACATTTTTTCCACCACATCAAAGATCTGCTTCTAGGTATGGCTGGCAACTGTCTCTTTCTCAACCCCATAGCACCTTCCTACAGAATCAAAGCTTCTTTTCAAATTGAAGTCCATATGAAATTGTTCACTATGGATTAGTAAGTAAGCATAAATAAGTGTGTACTTACCTTGCTTATTGGGTAATCTGTCTCTGCAGCTAGGAGGACCTAGGTCAAGCTAGTGACACACCCTCGACCCATGACACACACATACTCTCCCTCCCAGGTTGCCATCAAGCCTGGCTCCCTCCCACAGGCAGCAGGTGAGTCCTGCTTCTACCCGAACCACACCCACAGCAACATCCATAATGTTCTTCCTCCCCACTGATGCTCAGGCCCTCTTGATGCCTGGTTTCTGGTCTCCCAGACTAAATTAGAACCATCCGATGGCAGGAGCCAGGCCTTCTACTGTTTAGTATTTCCTGTTAAGGATTGAATTGTGACCTCTCCAAAATATGTGTTGGAATCCTAACTCCTATACCTGTGGATGTGATGGGATGTAATTACCTTCCATAATGCAACATAATATAATCAATCAGTTAAGGTCACGCTGGAGTAGGGTGAATTCTAAACCTGATCACTTCTGACTTATAAAGACACACAATGGACACACACACACACACACACATAGGGAGGAGACAGATGCCATGTGAGGATCACCTACAAGCCAAGGGACCAAGGAACACCCAGGGCTACTGACAAGGAAGGAGTTGGCATGGCCAAGACCAAGATTTGGACTTTTAGCTTCAGATCTATGAGAACAATAAATTTCTGTTCTTTAATGCCACCTCATGGTATTTCTGTTACAGTAGCACCAGGAAACTAGGGCATTCCCTTTGCTCATGGAGCAAATCAACAAGTGAGGGTGTGGTAGGACTTCTCTGTCATTTTCTCTTCTCGTTTCCTGTCCCATTCCCCAACTGGAGGTCAGATGTCGGGGGACAAGGGCTTCAGTTTCCACTTGTCTTGGACACCCCCTTCTTCTCTGTCCATCCTCACAAACCCCAGGGTCTCTGAGGGCCTGCTGAAGGCTGGAAGGACTCCTAATTTGTCTCACATTCTCCCTCACATGCATGTAAGGAACACGCAGGGCTGGGATATCATACACCAGGCATCTCACCACCCCTCATTGTCTGGACAACATTGGACAGACATCAGGACACACAGGTGTGTAGTCATGGGGTGCTGACTCTTAGTCTAGAGTGTCCCCAGCTTTTGGTCTTGGGTCTGGAAATACTTCTGTGCCAGGTGGCTGGGGCTCCTTGAAGACAACAATGCTATCATCTTATGACAAGACTAGGACCCCCTCCTGGGGACTGGGAAGTAGAAGAGGGAGCTGATAGTGGAGAGGCAAGGCACCAGGTCCATTTCTCTGTTCTCCACTAGTCCTGTCTTTAGCCCCAACAAACCAGCCTTAGCTTCCTCCTGACAAGTCTCCACAGATAGCAAAGATCTCAGAGTCCAAGGGATGGGAATAAATGTGTCCTGGACACCTCCCATGACCAGGTACTGTTTGAACAGGGTTTAATGCTCAGTATGACTCTTAGAAGAAGAAACCATTGGGCCCATGTCACAGATGAAAAAACAGACTGGTGGTTACATAACCCACCAGCTGGTGACCTGCCTGACTCCACACCCACTCTTCCTCCAGAAGCCAGAGCCAACATACACATACATCCCCAAAACTACACACATCACACATACACAGCACATACCCCACTGCACACCACACACACACACAATATATCACACACAAAAAAAAACACACACACACACAGATCGCTCATCACAATATATCATATAATACATATGATATGAATGTATCATATCCCTACACATCACACACACACACATCACACACACACCACCCACACATCACACACGACATAACACAGCACACACCAGATCACACACACACATCACATACCACACATACATGCCTCCATCACATACATTACCACAACACCACAAAGCTCCTCACACACCCTCTCCTGAAATTCTCACTCTATTCCCATGAGAGAGATGAGGAGTGAACTGAGGCATGGGGCAGGAAAGCCGGTCACCTAAGGCCACTCAGCTCCAAAGGGGCAGAACCAAGACTCCATGCTGGATGGGGTTTGGACCCTAGACACACACACTCACACTCTCTCTCTCTCTCTCACACACACACACACACACACACACACACCCTTCTGTCTGTTAAGCTCCCATCTCAGCGTGCTGAAAGTTGGGAAATTCTTAGAGGATCAAAGAGAACATTGGTGTCAGGCCCTGAAAGTGACCCCAGCACCTGTAACCGGAGCAAGAATGGGAGGTAGCTGGGGCCCACGCCCACCAAGCTCCAAGAAAAGATGTCGTCTCATAGCAGAGGCCTGCAGTCACTCTGCTTGACCCACACATGACTTGTTTGTTTGCTCACTGAACCAGCTGCCAACATTTAAACACTAGATTTCACGTACAAATCCAGATTTCAGACTGCTCTCACATAACCAGGCATCCACATGGCAAGAATCGGCCAGAGCTGGGCAGCAGCTGCCCCAGGATAGGACATGTGGCCTCCAGATGAGCCCCGTCCCCACCTACTGGGGCCCTCCTTCACATGACAAGTCAGCTTCTAGAGACCCTGAAAGAGGGGCCACTCTCTTGAGAAGTCAGCCTAAGACCTTAGGTCAGCCAGGTCAGGCACCCCCATCCTGGCTACATGGCCCAGAAGGGCCTTCCAAGTCCTCTGAGCTGCCCTTCCCTCCTACTCCCCACCCTCCCACTGTCAATTCACAGACCAGGCTAGATGCAGATTGTCAATGCAGATTCCCAGGCCACACCCAAAATCAGAGTCCCTGTGACTGAAACCCAGGAATGTGACTTCTTACAGAGCTCCCGGGTGGTTCCCAGCCAGTTTCTGACAACCAGGAGTCTATTACACACACATACACTTTTTCTAGATTAATTTATTCACTGATTAAAAAAATTAAGACAGAGTCATTAATTCATTTGACCAGGCTGGGGTCACAGTGGGTCCACCCTCCTGGGCCTGCCATCCCACAGAGGAGACAGACATGAAAGGCTTTATTTCAGGGCTTCTCAAGCCCTGGTGATTTGGCCTGAGGGGACACTTGGCAATGTCTGGAGACATTTTTGGTTGTTCCTACTGTGGGGAGGGATGCCACTGGCATCTTGTGGGGCAAGGCCAGGGCTGCTGCTGAACATCCTACAATGCACAGAACAGCCACCCCCTCACACACACACAACAGATTGATCCAGCTCAAGATGTGGACTATGCCAAGACATCATAACATATTTAATGGCTGTCTTGACCAATGTGCAAGGAAGGTGCAGGTGTTGGGCAAGTCATGAGGTGACAGAGGTGGTGATGGAGGTGATGAAGTTGGAGTTGGGCAAAGGGAACCATGCAGTCAACTGGAGGCCGTCAGGCCCAGAGCGCAGACCTCTTGGCCCCCACCTGGAGCTGTTTCCTTCTACATCCTACCTCCTTGGCTCCTAGAACAGGGCAGGGCGACACTCTCAGTAGGATGTGCCCCCCAAATGGCCACAGGGTCCCCATCCACATGTGGCTCCAGCTCCTCTGAAAGTCTCTCCAGGGCTGGGACAGGCTGGGCAAGGCTCCTTGTCTTAACAACAAATAAGACCTGCCTCAAGGAGGTCACAGCTTGCAGACAAACATCTGGCTCTCAGTGTGTTGTTGGGCTGCTAAATGGCATACCTGGTGACTGAAGTGTTGATACTATTTATTATTTCAGTCCAACTTGATTGTCTCTCGGTATCCTGAGAGCCCTGACACACCATTGTAGAAACTCCAGCTCCCCACCCCATCCCCATCCTGGCTCTGTGGCCCCAGTTGCCCTGGGCACTACTGCCCCCTACTCAGGGCCAGGCAGACCCACCACTCACAGGCTCCTCCCACCCTCCTCTGCCAGGTTCCAGGTCCTTCCTGCTGACTGGTCATTTTCACTCCAAGCTTTATTTGCCTCCTGGCCATCACCCACAGGACCTTTGACCTTGCACATCCCTCTGCCAGACCATTCCCCCTGCTCTTCTGCCTGCCTCTCCTCCCCGCAGCTGCGAGTCTCTGCCTGTGGTAGTTCAGTTTGTGTGTCAACTTGGCTGGGCCTGGTTAAGTGGCTGGGCAGCTGGATGTAGTTATTCCTCACGGTGAGATTGGTAATTAACTCCATGGTGGAATGTATTGGAGCAGCTCAGTAGCTGCTTTAGGGATGTGGTCCGCTTCCTGTATATAAGCAGCAGCTTTGGGAATGGTGTCCAGCTTATGGCACATTTGAACTCTGCATGTAGCCATGTCGTTGTTCAGCAGTCTGCCGTGCTCTGCCGACCCTGGGATTTTCAATGCACTTGAATTACTGGCCTGCCGTGTGGTTTGGTAACATGCCTTTTTACTTGTCAACCTTGGGTTTGTCAGTCTCAGCAGCCAGCAGCTGTCTGAGTGAAGAAAAGCCTCTAGCCTTCAGTGGGCCGGGAGCAGGAGGCAGAGCTGAAGCCCAAGGTTGAGGGACTTTCACCCAGCCCCTAGAGCCTAGCACTTGAATTCAGACTTAAAGCCTCCAAACTGTAAGAGAATAAACTCCTCTTTGTTCAAGCATCCCATTTGCGGTATATTCTTGTCAGAGTGGCACTAGGGAACCAGAACACCGCCTAAACCCTGTCTTCTGGAGGGGCCTTCTGTTACCTTGGTCACTGAAGAAGGCCCTTCTCTACCTGCTATAAACAATGGTTGGGGACGTATCTCCCTTCTCTGAGCACATTTTCACTGGCCCATTCAATCT